CCTTTGGCTGCTCTCTCCCCCCTCAGCTCCCCAGAGCAGCTGGGAAGGGGAATATCCCCACCCTGCCCTCCCCTCCCGGGATGTTTGGATAGGGGAAACTGAGGCACGGCATGACAAGTCCCTTAGGCCCCCTCCAAATCACAGCACAGAGAAGAGCCGTGCCTAAGGCTGTGGATAAAACTCTGGCAGAGCTCGAGCCTGCAGCTAGACCCAGCCTAGAGTCAAACCTGCACAACCCCACGCTCTCCTCCACCGTCAGCTCCTCCCTGGGGATTATCAGGGTCAGCACGGCAACACCGGAGACTTCTGGCCACTCTGGGGCAACTCCCGTGTCTCTGGTAGAGCTTTTCTCTTCCTCTTCTTTCCCCTCACGCCCTTCACAGCCTGAAAATGCTGGACACCATCAGCAGCCAGTACGACTCCTTCATCTACTGGAGGATGCCGATCCCGCGGCTGGACATGGCCGAGCTGGAGGGGCTGGGGCTCGCAGACATGGCCCTCTACAAGCCCAAGGGAGGGCTGGGCAAGCTCGGGGACCGGGGCAGCCAGGACGTCTCCCAGGAAGAGGACAGTCTGCTGCAGTTCAACAGCTTTAACTTCTGGCGAGCTCCCATTGCCAGCATCAGCTCCTTAGATTTCGATTTAATTTGAAGCCCTTCCTGCCCCTCCTCACCACCCCGCTCTCTCTCTTCCCGCCAGGCATGCCAGGGTTTGGTTTTGTTGTCCCTTTGGAGGCTGTTGGGTTGGGGTTTTTTTGTTTTTTTGGTTTCTGGGCAGTTTTGCCATCGCTAATTCACTCAGCAGTTCACCGCGGCCTTGACGGTGATGGGCTCCCCGAAAATCTCCGACCCCTCTCCCCTTTTTCCTCCTGGAATCACAAGGGTGCAAGGGGGGCAACAGCACCAGGGGCAAACACCAGGGGAGGGGGCAGACACAGCCCCCCATTGCCCCTCTCTGCTCAGTGCCACCCCCACCTCGTGTCAGTGTGACCACGGCTGTCCCCTCCCTGTGTGACAATTCCTCAGCTCATTTCTCATGTGCTTTTTTAAGAAACTCATTTGTGCAAACGGGGCACGGAGGAGCAATGGGAATCGCCCTGGTTTCGCAGGAAGCAGAGACCCCCTGCACTCCCCTGGCCCAATTTCCCAAAAATCCTCTTTGTCCCTCAACCTTCCCCTCGGGAATGTGAGGTGGAAGGGGCAGGGACGCGCCCAAGATATCAGCACAAACCTCCTTCTTACAAAAAAATCATCACTTTGAGCCTTGTGCTGTGAGCCCAAGCAGGAAAAATTATATCCAGGAGGGTAAATAGACATGGAAGTGCTCTGACCTTGCTTGGTGGGGTCAAGGCTGGGTGTTTACTGCCCCAAATTTGATTTTTCTCATCCTTTATGTCCCACGTGGTTTACTCCCGGTGCAGCTCCTGACTGGGACAGACGCTGGGTACATTGTGGGGTCTGGAAGGGTGATGGGACGGAGCTGAAAGATGGAGAATTCAGTTTGATCTTACCCCCAAATGAAAATATTTCAGGTTTTCCACTCAATCAATCCCTTTAAAAACAACAACAGACAATGCTGCATTCATTCAAGTGGAAGCCTTGAGTTTTCTCTGGGGAGATTTTCACCTGCTGAGATTTATTCCTGAGCATCATCTCAAGATGGGGGGGAAAAACCCAACCTGGAATAATTTTTGGCTTTTAATCAGGTTTTTTTCCCTCCCCAAGATTGTTTTCTGGGATTGGTTTGTCTTATTGAATGTGCTTTTTTTTGGGTCTGATTGGGATGAAGTGATGTAGAGCATCCCAAAATCATCCTGAGAGTTGAGTGGTATGTGGCTGGGGGCAGGCTGAGGCAGCACTTAAAAAGTGCCAGAAATGTGCAAAAATCAGAAAAAAATCTGCATTCTACTATGAAAATTGGGTGCAGCTCTCCTGTAATCTCCAGAAATAATCCAGTGTGCTGATTTTGAACCATCTGTGTAAAACCAGAGGTGAAAAATGTAAACTCTCCTCTGCAGAGCTGTTTGACTTCTGTGTTCCCACCTAGGAAAACCTGCAGGAGAAGTATTTATTATGGAACTTTAAATAAAATCAGTTAAAAACATACACATTCCTGTGGACACATAGACTAACATAAAGTTCTTTAGCATTAAAATGTCTCACATCTCTTTACAGTGAACTGAGAACTCACCTCCATGTCTTTGCACATGCTGTGGAAGACTTAAGCATGGAAAAATTAAGCCTAAAGGATTATTATAAGCACATTAAGGATATTAATTACACTTCAGCTTTTCCAAGCCCCACAGGAAAACACCCCAGAGAAGAAATAGGCCCCAGAGCTCAATTTTTACCTCAAAAAAGGGCATTTTGGGCAAGTCAGGGGCACCCAAGCGGGTACCAACCTTAAAGTGGGGGGATTAGCAGCCTGAGGGAGGCTAAATCCTAAACTGGAAGGCACACAGAGGAGACGGGTATGCTCGAACTACTAAAATACACACATATAAATAGATATATGTTCAGAAACCCTAATTTTCAAAGTCCCAAAAGACAGCCAAGCCAGCCCGCCTCAGTGAGGCGCCGCCGCCATTTTATCCTTGGCGCAAAACCGCCTCTGCCGAATCTAACCCCAGGGACGCGTCACGGCGCCCCACAGATTGATATCCTTCCGCCAGAGGAGAACGCTCCCCTGCCAGGCCTCTCCCGACGGCCCCGGGGCGGGAGAAGGACGGGGAAAAGAAGGAGAAATTCCCACATTTCCCACAGCTCCCGCTGCAGCGGAGCGAGCGCGGGACCAGCCCGATCTTTCTCCGCCGCATCGGAGGACTCTTTGGTTGCACGTCCTAGATCCTTCCGCCGCCTCCCGGGGCAGCCATTTTGTGAGGCCGCGGCGGGAGGNGGAGGGGCGGGCCCGGGAGGGGCGGAGCGCCGGGAGGGGCCCGGGGCCGCTGAGGCGAGGCGGGACTGCCGTGAGGGGCTTCGGGGACCCTCGTGAGGGGAAGGTCTGCGATCTTGGGGGGTGTGAGGAGGGAGGACCCCTGTGAGGCGTTCAGAGGACTCCCGGTGAGGAAAGGGGCTGAGGGACCCTCTGAGAGGGGCGATCTTTGGGCTCTGAGGAGGGGGGACCCTCAGTGGTGGGCGCTCACCCAGAGAGCAAATCCCGTCACAAAGGTCTAATCTCGCCCTTCATTCTTACAGCGGGGCAAGTTCTCAATCTCTTCCCTTAAGCAAACGCCAAAACCACCTTGGGTAAGATCTTAGGGCGAGTGTGACCCTAGGATTGCTCTCCAGTAGAGGGCAGATGGGTATTTAGGAAAGGAAGAGTGCTGAAATGTAGCCAAACACGCCCAAGTGCTGCTTCCTGCCCCGGAATGTTTTCACCAGTCGAGGTGAGGGAGGAGGATCGTACAACTGGTGTAAATAAAGGTGGTTCTAGTGTGCGGCTCCTCTCTGTGCTCAGCTCGGCCGTGGGCCTGCGCCAGCTTTGGGGAAAATTGATTCGGCTGATGGAACAGGAAAAATGAGAATTCCTGCCTGTGACTGTGCCTGAGAGCGGAATAGTTTGCTTTGCTCTTTACTGCCAGTGTTGAGTGTTTTGCTTTGTGTAAACATTGAGCAAGCAGGTCTAAGGGATGTGTAGATTACTCCTTATTTATTCTGTCCCATGTTAGATGGAAATAAATAGGTTATAAATAGGTTTCCCGTTGTTCTTGAGCTTTATTGTGACAGGGAAAACCCATTTAGCTTGGTTCTAAGTGCAAATTCAAAAAGAATTTGAGTAATCCCATATTTTCTAATGCCCAGCAATGCTGTGCCAATGCCCCACACACCGCTCTCCACATGGGACTGCCCTAAAAAACCCCAGGATTTTCCCTCCACGACACTTCCAGGGTCAGGAAGGGCTCAGGAACAGCCGCAGCTGCTGCTCTGAAAGGTGAATTTGGGATTTCCCACGAGATGGCATCAGCAACCACTTCAGTTTTAACAAAAACATCTAATTTAACACTTCCAGATAAAGATTTTTCTTGTCTCCTGTTTTTAAATGGGAACAAGGATCTTTAGCTGGGCTGGGGGAATCTGGTGACAAGGTGCTGGAAGCTCCAGGCTTGGGCTGTTCTCACCTGCCAACCCAAGTGTTCTAGGAAACAAACCCAATGAACTCTTTAAATCAGGTAAAAACAGAGAGAAAAATCAGATTGCAAGGGTTAAATGAGAACTTTAGGTGAACTTCCCTCTGTGTGTTTATAATCTGTTGATCTACGGCGGTGCTGAGGAACAGGATCTCTTTTTTTCCTTTTTAAAGAGGAATTGTGGGTTCTCTGCACTGAGTTTGCGCCCATTTAGGTAATTTCCTTTCCCATTCTTACAGAGTCTACATTGAATAGGAGCTACTATGGTCAATTGCAGGAAGAAACATTGTTTCTGGGCTGAGGAGGTTTGTTTATCTCATTTCAGTCAATATCCCATTGCAGTGAGCACGTTTTTGGGGAGATTTATTGATTTAATCCCAGTTCAAACTCAGTTAAAGAAACAGTGATGGATACCAATAGAAACAACTTCATTCTTAGTGAATTTTAAATGAACCACCATGCCTGATGTTGCCATACACAGCCCTTGATGTGCTTTAACAGTTATTTAAAAAATAAATAATAAAGATGGAAACCCACTGCAGCAGAAATGGATGTCTGTAACATGCACACATGGATAAATAGTTCAGGGTGAAATTGTCTCAAATGTTTCCTGTCCCCATGCTGAGGCTCTGATAACTCCTAATTACAGAAAGGTTTGTGTTGTTTTTTAATCATCTTTTTTATGCTGTTTGACCTTTAATTAACTTTGGATTTAGGAATTTGATAAAGTGGAAGTTTATCTAATCCCCTCACTTCTCAATTCCGTTCTCTTCCCCAAAGCTAAGCATTTTTTTTTCTAGAGTCTAGAGACAAGTAATTTAAATTCTTGAAGCTGCTGATGGCACAGCAGTGGTTCCTTGACCCAAGTGTTTTCCTGTCTGGCACCCAGCACAGGTCAGGTCCCAGTTTCCTGCCCTGGGAGCAGGATGCAGCCGAGGGAAGGGGCAGGGAAGGAAGCTTTGCCGAGCCAGGGCTGCTGAACTGCTGCCTCCACTTCCAGGCCTTTCCATGTGTGTGCTGGTCCTTATTAATGTGCACAAAATAAAATTATTACAGCTGGAGAAGACCTCCGAGATCATCAATCCAACCCTCAAATGGACGTGATGATCTTGGAGGTTGTTTGAACCTTCCAGCTACGCTGGGCTTACCTTGAAAACTTTGTTTTGCTGAGCTGCAGTGGCGTTATTTTCTTCCTCCTGCTAAAACCTCCTAATTCCCACATTGTTTTCCATAATCCCAGGAGTTTCAGGCCGCACACTCCAGCCTTTCCCCCTCAGTTTCTATTCAAGGAAGAGAGAAGGAAACCCCGACTCTTTTCTCTGGTGTTTGTTTTATTTCCCAGGGTAGGAGGGAGGAAGTGGTGGAAGCAGAGGCTGTGGATTGTGCCACCAAGTGCCACTGTCCCTAGAGCCCCCTGCCAGCCCCTCGAGCAAGGTGAGGCTTCAGAGCCAAAGGGAAAAGGTTCCAGCTCCTGGGAGCCTGCGGAGCTCGTGGGCACCGTGGGCTCGGGAGAGCCGAGCGTCCCTGGGGCTTCTGTCGGCACCAGAAATTCCCTGGAATATTTGGGGTTTTTCCTGGAAACCCAATGCCCTCAGGAGGAGAAATGCCAAGCTGTTGGTAGAGACCGTTCCCTTATCCGTGGGGAACGTCCCAGTCTGGGAGAAAATCACCCAAGCGATGAAACCCCAACCTGTTACTCCATATTTATCTAAAACTTCGTACGGTGCCGTTAATATCAGCGCAGCCCGTCCTCCCGTCAAACTGCCGGGGCACTGTAATCTCGTTATTTTATAGCAGATACAAATGGTGTTCAGTAGAGCAGGGCACAGCTCCAGAGCTCTGTTTGTTTCCTCAGGGGATGTCATTCCCCAGCCTTGCCCACTACCGCCAATTCTTCCAGCGTGTCCCAGGGATACTCGATTATTTGGATTAACTTCGGGGCAGGAAAAGAGGATTAGGAAGCAGAGCTGCTCTTTAATGCGCGCATGGAGACGGGTTACATCAGTCCTGTCTGTTTACAGACTTGCCCTGCTGAAAAACAATTTTCTAAAGCTGTTAATTATTCTGAATTATTTGCCAAATTACTACAAATCATTCCTGGCTTGGGACCCACCAGGAAGACAAAGGGGGAACTGTTTAGGCGGCGCTACCTTCAGTCACTCACATGAGCTTTCCCCTCCCTGCTTGGCCAAATTCTGCCTTCCCAAAGCAAAAACTCATGTTTACAGATTTAAAATATTTATTCTCTGGACATTTGCAGCTCTTGCATGTGCTTAAAGCTGCTTGGGAGCTTAGAGACAGGAATTATCCAGGAGAGCTTTCTATTCCTCTCCTTCTCCCTGTCTGGGCTGGAAGTTCCACTACCGAGGCACCAAAATACATTTTTTTCCTCATGTGGTTCTTTTTTAAGATGAAATCTTTTGGGTTTGGATTCTGTCAGCCCCATTGGGGTGAGACACTTGGGCATTCCAGAGTTGGAATTGTGTCCCGAGAGGCAAGGAGTGGAAGGGAGAGTGGGTGAGTGCAAGGTGGACACTGCTCGGAGCAGAGCTGAGCCCGGGGGTGTCTCTGTCACACACCTGGAGCTCAGGGGATTTACTGCCACATTTGGGATTCCCCCTGCGAGCTGGGCACAATCCAGGCCTCAGCAATAGTGCAGGAATGGCTCCTCATCCCTTTTGCAGGAGGAAAGATGTTTTTCCTCATTTCCCTCCCAACTGTTCATCACTGGTAACGCTTTTAATTCCCTTGGTTCCACCTCCTTCCAACCTTCGAAATTCTCCCAGGTGGGATCTCACCCACCTTCCCACATTTCCCGAGGTGCTGAGGGAATGCCCACCAGCCTGGATCCGCCTGAAGACGCTGTCACCTCCCAATCCTGGCACCTGTAAAGGAAAATTGCTCTTTTTTCCTCTCTTTTTGGTTAAATCCGGGGCTGTTCCCGCGGTTCCAAGAGCTGCCCCCTCCAGCCTCCACCTCCCGTGCCAAAAAGCGCTTTGAAACCCGCAGAGATCCGGGGCTTTTCCACAGAATTCTCCCCAGCCAGGTGATCTGACAGGCATTCTGGGATGTTGGGAATGGGAAGAAATCCCGCTGGTGAGAGCAGCTGGATTAGTGCTGAGCTGCCTGGGAATTCCAGCCTGAGCACAGACCTTGTGCAAATCCCGGGGGCCAGATCCGCAATGGCAGCAAAAATATTCCCTTGGTGTCTTGCTTCGAACATTGGCAGAGCTGTGGAAGGGATTTTCCCCTTTTATCCACGATTTTCTTCTCCCCAAATTGTTAATTTTTGGATTCAGGCAACGTTGAATGTTTGTCCCGTGACACCCTCAGGTAAAACCATCCTTCACCTGTTTGTCTCAGGAAGGATTTGAGGGAGTTTTTCGTCAAAACACCCAAAATAAGAAATTCCAGGGGTTTACAATATTTAGGCAGATATTCTGCTTCCCACACCGGCCAGGGCTGTAAACTGGCAGCACATGGAAATCCAGACGAGACAGCCTGGAAGTCTGGTCATGTTTGGAGATACAAATGTCACTTTTTAAAACCAAATTTTCTCTTTTTAAAGAACTAAACCCCTTTTTTTAAAAACATGCAGCTGATGTGTACTGTGCCTTCCCCTCTGCCACCCTCAGTTATTGCCATCCTTCTCCCCAAAACAGGTGATTTTGCCAAAAAATCCCTTCAGCTGGGAGAAAAACTTCCCCTTTGGAAGGGGAAATTAAAAATAAAAGTCCGTGGGGCTCATGGGAAGTGGTCTGGGTTATTTTGGGAGGATAAAGCCGAGGATGTTGTCACCTTTCGGAGGGGAATCCCCGGTTTCATTTCTGGAAGCATCCGTGTCTCAAAGCCTGGAACAGACCCGGCTGCGCCCCCAGCTCTCCCACAGAAAACCACCAGCAGCTTTTTTAGCCAAAAGCAGCGTTTTTGGTCAGTAAATTCCCTCCCACGGGAGCCCAGGCCGGGCTGTGCCGTGTCAGGGCTTTTCCTGCCCGCGCCTGCTCCGGCCCCGGAGCGCGTCCGTGGGCCACGAGAGCCCAGCGAGCCCCTTTGGGCTAATGAACACCCTCTGGGGCTAATGAACGTGCTCTGGGGCTAATGAACGTGCTCTGGGGCTAATGAACACCCTCTGGGGCTAATGAACACACCTTTGGGGCTAATGAACACACCTTGGGGCTAATGAACACACCTTTGGGGCTAATGAACACACCTTGGGGCTAATGAACACCCTCTGGGGCTAATGAACACCCTCTGGGGCTAATGAACACACCTTTGGGGCTAATGAACACCCTTTGGGGCTAATGAACACCCTCTGGGGCTAATGAACACCCTCTGGGGCTAATGAACACCCTTGGGGCTAATGAACGTGCTCTGGGGCTAATGAACACACCTTGGGGCTAATGAACACCCTCTGGGGCTAATGAACACCCTCTGGGGCTAATGAACACACCTTTGGGCTAATGAACACACCTTTGGGGCTAATGAACGTGCTCTCGGGCTAGTGAACACCCTCTGGGGCTAATGAACACACCTTTGGGGCTAATGAACGTGCTCTGGGGCTAATGAACACACCTTTGGGGCTAATGAACACACCTTTGGGGCCAATGAACACCCTCTGGGGCTAGTGAACGTGCTCTGGGGCTAATGAACGTGCTTTGGGGCTAATGAACGTGCTTTGGGGCTAATGAACACCCTTTGGGCTAATGAACACCCTCTGGGGCTAATGAACACACCTTTGGGCTAATGAACACCCTCTGGGGCTAGTGAACACCCTCTGGGGCTAGTGAACACACCTTTGGGGCCGGGCTGAGCAGAGGGGGCCACGCCGACCCCGGCCCGTTCTCTGCAGCCGCAGGAGGGGGCAGAGAGCGGGGTCCCCTCCCGGGGCTGCTCTCTCTTTGATTCATCCGGGCTTTTACCGCATTGTTTGATCACATCCCCCGAGCTCTGGGAGAAGAACGCGAGGGCTCGGGCAACCCCCGCTTTTCTACCGAGGCAAAATGCTTTGGAATGCAGAGATTTCACCATCCACGCTCGGTTTTTGTTGTGTGTTTTTATTAAAGCCCTGCGCCGCTGGTGCGGTGCCCTGGGCCAGCCCTGCTCCTACACAGTAGGATGGGCTGGGCCACCTGTCCCCCTTCCCGGTGTCCCCAAGGGGGGCGACAGCAACTCCCACCCCTCCCCAACAGAAAATAAATTAGAAAGAATAAAAAAAAAAGCAAAAGCGGGGTGGGGCGGGAGACACGGAGACCTTGTCACTGCAGTGTGGGGACACGGGGATCCCTGCCAGCCCTGGGGGCTGTCCCGGTGACACGGCTGGGGCAGGGGGACCCTGCACCCCGGGCTGCCCCAGCCGCCCTCGGGGTGTCCCGGGAGGGGCTCAGGGCCGCCCCGGGGCCGCGGGCAGCAGCAGCGGCTTGGGCAGCACCGGGGGCTTCATGGACAGGGAGCG